CTAACCAAAGATACCAAATACCAAACCAATGGGACTACAAATCCACTATCCACAATACACAACCAAGAGGAAGAAAACAAAAATGAAAGTAATACTTGAAGACTCAAAAGAATCTTCAATCGATGTTCAAAGTTTAATCATTATTCATCATTCATCATTCATCATCAGAAAAAGTAGGGTTAGCCGCATTTGCATCATATTCATAGGAGTTGTATCCTTCCTTGACATATTGGTTGTCCTCTTCCGTCTCTTCTGAATCTGGCTCTTCTTCGTCCTCTTCCTCCACTCTCGTCCTTTGTGCGGAAGATCTAGTGGCCCTAGGAGGGTCGGCTGATGTTCTTGAAGCATCCATGGCCATGTCCCATGTCAATCCTTCATGCCCCTCGACCTCATCATCATCAACTAACCATTCCATAACATTGTCCATATTTTTTGATCTGATGGGGTCTCTCTTATCTCTCTTAGCAAACCTGTCATTCAAGAATCGATTATACTTGACATAGGCAAGGTCATTGAGCCTCTTTGATTCAAGCTTGTTCATTTTCTTTGTATGAATCGAACAAATCAAATGAAACTAATTAAAATCTATGGTTCATGTATTATTAATACAATTATACAAATTACCCTTATGGCCTTACCCCTTCAAAAGTACTCCAATTACGCTCACAACCGGATGAGGAAGTGGTTAGGTTTAAGATCCGAATAGCCAACTTTTGTAAATTTGGAGAACTACACCCATGTTGGCTGCAAAGATATAAAAAAAAATCATAAATAAATAATAGAATTATAAAAATGAAACTTGATAACTTGAACTTAATGAACTTAAGAATATTATTGCTACATGGATCAATTTTGGTCCTTTGCCTCATCTTCATTGGACTTCCAAAAGACTTTAATGAACACTTGTAATTTATCAGCTCATCAACACATATAATATCCTAGATATCAGGATCAGGGACTAGCATATCTACAGACTTATTAAATCCAATCATAATTGTGTGTATATCCTTGTCAGCATAAAAAAAAGCTGGGTTCAAATAATAACTAGCTGCATGCAATGGCTGATGTAGCTGCCTATCCCACTTCTCATCAATAATCTCCCAAATAGGCTTGTAGCAGTTCTCATCATCATCAAAAGTTTGGGCTCTCACTTTTGCATTTCTCCATAGCCTCATATATGTAGCCCATAGAAGCCTTGTCACTATCAACCATGCGAAGGAATTTGACAATAGGAAAAAATACCTTAAGAGCGCTTTTCACCCCTCTCCAAAAAGACTTAGAAAAGATAATATCTTTCACCTTCTTCCCAACCTGATCTTTGGACCACTTGCATGCTCTCCGGTCATCCGAGGTAAACATCTGCCTCAACTGCACTCTCCTCAAATGTATGCTATCTAGGCATAAGTACCCAGTCGCAAATCTCGTGTTCACAATCTCTTTCTTCTTTGTAAATCGGCACATCATGCTGAGGGTAAGATGGTGGCTATAAATGAAATTTGTAACTGACGTTGCCTCCTTCACTGCACCTGATATCTTGATAAACCGCCAAGAGCCTCAAGCATGAGGTCTATACAATGTGCTGCACATGGTGTCCAAAAGATTCTAGGATAAGTTATTTGCAACAAATTAGCAGCAACAACATTAGGAGCAGCATTGTCTGCGACAACCTATATAACAAGATGCTCCCCAACCTCCTTGTTTCCCTTCTCTGTAACTTGGAATATGTAATGGGCATCATGGGTATAATCAGATGCATCAATAGACCTCAAAAAAACATTCCCTAAAGGACAATTCACAAGCAAATTCATTTAATTTTTCTTCTCTTCCTATCACTCCAAGCATTAGTCATAATAGAAACTCCATATTGAGCACATGCATCCTTTTTAACTTCTACAACATCTTTCGTGACACTTACCGCTTTTTTCAAAAGGCTTGAAAGCTCATATGGGGTTGGGGGTTTCATCCCAGGCCCAAATTGGCCAATTGCCTCTACCAAGGCATAGAAGCTGCTTAGGCGAGATTTATTGAAAGGAATGCTCGCCTCATAAAATCATGTAGCAATATAAAAATTAGCTCTATCTCTCTCTTCGTTCTTCATTTTATTTTCAATGGTGGTCGGCTTCTCTGTTTTCTCTCTTGCAACCTCAGGGTGCAAAAAACTATCCATAGGGCCTCTAATCCGAGGCTTCTTACTTTCAGAACCAGAACCAGAAGCAATTGCAACTCCCTTTCCCTTTCCCTTAATAATGGATTGTTCTACCTCTTGACATCCCTCCCCATCCTCATTATTATCATCATCATCATAATTGACCCGAACCCCAGACTTAATCTCTACTATGGAGGAAAATTTCTCATCTTTTTTCATTTTTACCATTCTCAAAAAATTGTTTATTTCCTCTTTAACAACATCAGGAGTCTTTTTACATGGGGCAACATCCCTCCTAATATCAGCAAGATGTTTCTTGAATCAATTTATGCCCCTTTTGTATCCTTCTTACAAAACTTGCGTCTTATGCAATTTTTATCATTAGGATTTGGGTTGTGGCTATATTTCCAACCGGGATCACCACTTCTATTAGATCCCGAAGAAGACATCTCAAAATAATATAACTTATACAAGCAATAAAAAAAAATCACTTACTTTGATTGTTCAATCTCCAAATTTCTACCTCAAAGATGCTTCTAAAGACTCAAAATCTTCTAAAAAACCCTCCAATATATTTATAAAATATCACAAATTAAATCTAATATCAATGGATGAAGTTTTGATCAATTTCTCATAACTTTGAGAAACCCTTCCAATATTAAAGAAATCACCAAAAAATGGTTTTTTGGGGTTTTTCTCTCTCTAAAATAGTCTGTATGTTTTAGGTTACAAATAAACCTAAAAACAAGAAATTTGTCTCTTTAGTATAAAAAAAAAAGGACAAAAAATGCCTCTACCAAAACTCATTTTCGCCTTTGGGCGGGGCGCAGGCCCTGGGCGGCCGCTTAGGCAGATTCCTGGGTGCATAGGCTGGAGCCCAGGGTTTTTTGCTTTTTTTTTCCTGCTTAGGCTTGGGCGATGCACCCAGGCCCCTAGAACCGCCTACGCGGCGTCCCAATCGCTGGGCAGTCCGCTTTTTGAAACACTTAAATGAGTGTATCAGAAAATCAATTTAGTTTATGCTAGGGAGGTCAATAACTGATGCTATTTTCCTACTTAGGAAACTGATTGAAAAGTTTAGGGCAAACGGTATAAACTTCCACATGGTCTATTTTACTTTAGAGAAAGCTTTTGATAAAGTACCTCGAGATTTGATTCGGTGGGTGTTGGAAAAGAAATGAATCTTCAGAAACTACATCGATTTGGTGAGAGATATTTATGAGTGAGCACTAACTAGTGTAAGTACAACTAGTGGAGAGATGAGTGAGTTTTCAGTGACAATATGTCTACATCAGGGATCAGCATTGAGCCCATACTTTTTTGTCTTAGTTATCGACGACTTAATTAGGCACCTACAAGATGAGGTGCTGTGGTGCATGTTGTTTGCGAACGACGTAGTTTTCATCGATGAGACCCGAAACGATGTCAACACAAAGTTAGAACTTTAGAAGGATTCTCTAGAATCTAAAGCTTTTAAAATTAGTTGGACGAAGACAAAGTATATGGAATGCAAGTTTAGTAATAATAGGAGTAGAGACGAGGAGAGACGAGGAAGTAGTTAAGATTGACAATCAAGAAATCCCAAAAAGAGCGCACTTTCGGTATCTGGGGTCAATAATCCAAGAAAATGGAGAGATTGAAAAAGATGTCGCATATAGAATTAGAGCTGGGTGGGCAAAGTGGAGATGTGCAACTGGAGTTTTATGTGATCACCGCATACCAATAAAGCTGAAGGCAAGTTCTATGAGTCCAGCTTTGCTTTATGGGACGGAATGTTGGGCGGTCAAAAAACAACATACTCATAGAATGGGTGTAGTTGAGCGGAGGATGTTGAGATGGGAGTGGAAAGACAAGAAGAGATGGAATTCGAAATGAATACATTCGGGAGAATTTACATGTGACACCAATAGGCGATAAGATGTAAGAAAGTAGACTTGGGTGGGCTGGCCATGTGTGGCACAGACCCAGTACAACACCTATTAGGAGGTGCGAGTTAGTTCAAGCTGAAGACTCAAAAATGGCAAGGGTAGGCCCAAAAGGACATGGTTGGAAGCAGTGAAGAAAGATATGGGGACTTATGGCCTCGCTGAGGGTATGATCTTTAATAGAGCAGAATGGTGGACTAGGATTCGTTAGTAGACCCCAATTAGTTGGGAAAAGGTTCTGACGATGATGTTGATGATGATGGATCTAGTTCAAGGCTATGAGTGCTGTTTCAAAGTTGTTGTTATGGAAGGTTTTAAGACGAAGATGCTTTATGTGCATATTAGGACCCTTTTGAAGGCCCTCATAAATTTTAACTTGCATGGATTCTCTTTGATAATGGTTGAATGTTTTCACCTTAAAAGAAAACATATTACAACGGTGGAAGATTAACTCAATCACATTGAGATTTTCCCCTTTGTCATTGAGACTTGGATACCCCTTCGACATTATGCCTATGGTGATGGACTTTGGATTTTTGCATATAATGCATAATCCTTACTATCTTGGCCTAAAACTTGGGATATTTTTCTGCTGGGAATTACTATGCCTCAATAAATTTTTTTGCTTCGTAGTACTTACCATATAAATAGAAACCTATTTTCTTATTCTTGACGCAGACTAGGTATTACATAGCCATTAGCCGTTATTGGGTTTGATCATCTGTTTTTTCTTTTATTTTAGATGTTTTCTTTTCTGAATATTATTGTTCTTTTATCAAATTTTGTTGTTCATAGTTTTTATATATGGAATGATCCAATGGAAGGTGTGATCACCTTCTTTTTAAGTTTGTTATCAAATTAAGCCCATTAAGTCTGTTTTCATTTTCTTGATTCTGTGCGACTTACTGACATGGGCTTCCTTTTTTCAGATGTCAGATTTGTTGGTTAACATAACTGAACATGTTTTGAAGCCAAAACATGACATATTGACACCAGAAGAGAAAGATGAGCTTTTGAAGAAATACAGCGTGACAGACAATCAGGTCTCTTTTTTCACTCTTTGTACTTTTTCTTTTTTCCGTTGTGGAAGTTTTTCATTCGTGCGACTCACATCTTGGTTTCCTAACTTTGGTTTCGCAGACAAAGCTACAGTGCCTAGTGAGTTAATTTAGGAAGAACAATTTTATTTTGGCACTTTTATACTGATCATAGAACTTTATTCAATCTATTGTCCCTGATGTGAACCCTTATTTTGAATTGGATATGAGCTCCTTTCTCTAACTGAACTCATATTTATGTGCCACTGGATTTGATCGGAGTTGGGGAATTCTGTGGATGGGTTTGGGTTCAGATGCAATGTGTCATGCTAATCTTCACTCCATTGAACTCCATTGCGTCGATATGATGACTAGTGAAGGTCACTTCCAAACTTTACAGAATGTGGCAACATAGTTTATATGTTAGGTTCTTGGAAATGTTCAAGTGAGTGGTAGTGGGAGATGGAATGTCCTATTTTGCCAATAGTTTAGGAGTTCAGGGTCTCTAAGAAGCATTTGGTTCTATGGGTGTCAGAACCCTACCTGCTGTAGGTGGTTCCTGCTGTAGGTGGTTTTGTTGAAGTTTGGGAAAGTATTTGTTTGCTGGAAGCGTAGAGGTATATTTGTCAATCTATTTCATTCTTTGCAGTTCATTTAAGAGAACAAATGTTGAATTATGAAGATCATACTTTTTAGTTGTATTTCCGTAATATCACTGTTACTATATTCAAAGTACATTTGTAAAATTTTGTTGTTTTGTGCCACCTAAGGACTTGCTGTACATAGACACATTTGAGGAGTTTCACCCTCTTTATTTTATTTAGTTTATTATTTCTATTTAATTTTTTTATGAGAATCGACTCTGTGAGATCATCGGTTTTAAGGTTTACATGTTATTAAAGCCATTGAAACCCTAGTCTATGAGGCCTTGGTTTGTTAATCAGAAGGGTATTTAAAGTAAAGTCTTTCAAGTTTTCTTGGCAGATCTGTAGTCTGCTAGTCAAATGTGCAAATGAGGAATCTAAAATTTCTAATTCTAGTGGACTGTTGTACATGGACATTATGTGAGGGATTTCACCCTATTTATTTTGTTTTATTTTATTCTTATTTATTTATTTTATAGCCATCAATTCCATGAGAGCATTCTCCTTTACGGTCTACTTTTAAAGCCATTGAAACTCCAGTGTATGACACCCTGATTTGTTACGTCTTTCAAGTTTTATTGGCAGATTTTTCGTCTGCCAGTCAAATGTGAGGAATCGGAAGTTTTGTATCCCCAGAGTTAAACATGCAATTGTTATTCACATATACTTTGTGTGGGACCATCTGCAAGGGAGCTCTGGGAATTTCTTCTGCTCATTAAATGAGTATCTTGAGGCTAATGTCAAGCCTATATTACATATAGTTCAACAAAATTTGAAGAAATTATGGTTCGAATGGATAACTTTTTGATTGCCATTCGTCACATCTCATGTTTTTGCTACTAGTTCAACTGGACTTTGTAGAGGTCTGATGGACTTTAATTTCCTCGAAATACCAGACCCAAAACAATACTCTTATATGCAATGATTAATTGAGAAAAAGAAATTCCAGCAAATAAGGAAAATCAACAGAATTACACCCACACAATTAAAGGA